CAATCTGTTGATTACCTTACTGTGAGGATTGCTCTTTTTCTTTGGGAAAAAACAGGCACTGATGAATCGACTTTTTAGCTCTGTATAATTAGGCTGGTGTAGGGTCAAATCCACTAGACACAGTTTGAGCTATAAATAGATGCACGATACAGTCTTCAGTATAAACTATATGACAGATATTCAATAGGTTAAATACATGTAACCCTTCATTGTGCAAAATGTAATCGTAATCTTTGCATTAGCCATCTAGGGAGTATGTTGCTATTATAAAGGCAATTTCATGCAGTTTCTGACTTGAAGAGATACTTTAAAAGCACTATGCTAGACACAAATGCACACATACAAACCTATATTATCTAATATCACATGAAAAACTAACTAAAAGGGCAAATGATGTTTTGTCAACAAACTAAAATGAACTGAACCTGAAAAACTGTATAATAGTATAATAGTAACATAATAGTAAAAAGCATAATATAATAATAAAATATAAAAAAGCTAAATGAAATATACAATTATATGAAAAAGTAAAATTGTCTTGTCAACAAACTAAAATAAACTGAACCTGAAAAAAAAAACATAATAAAAAAATAAAATAAACATTAATAAATAAATAAAAAATGTTAATAAATAAGAAAATATTTTAAAAGCTACAAATAAAAATTTAATTTAAGCTTAAAGCTAAAATTAAGTATACAAGTATTGAATGAAAAACGTGAACTAAAGTTCAAAATTATGTCTTGTTGACAAACTAAAATAAACTGAACCTGAAAAAACTGAAAAAAAAAGAAACTAAATAGAAAAAAGTCAAATAAACATGAATAAATAAATCAATAAAATATTAATAATAAATAAGGAAAATAATCTTAAAAAGCTAAACCTACAAATAAAATGAAAGCTAAATATATATTTATTATAAGAAAAATGTAAACCAAAGTTCAAAATGATGTGTTGTTAACAAACTAAAATAAACCAAACCTAAAAAAACATAAATAAAATAAAAAGTCAAATAAAGATTAATAAATTAAACTATTAAAATATTATTAATAAATAAGAAAATATTTTAAATAAAAGCTACAAATAAAAACTAAATAAAAAGCTAAAATTAAAATATTCAATTATATGAAAAACATAAACTACAGTTAAAAATTGTCTAAAAGAAACTGAATCTGAAAACACTAAAGGAAAAGAAAAACAAACAGAATAAAGTATTTTAAATAAAATCTACATTGACAAAATAAAATAAATAGCTAAAATTAAATATATAATTATTATGAAAAATGTAAACTAAAGTTAAAAATGATCTCAAACTAAAATAAACTGAACCTGAAAAAAATAAATCAATAAACTTGTTAAGAATAAATAAAACAAAATGTTTTAAATAAAAGCTAAATCTACAAATAAAATAAAAAGCTAAAATACTTTATACTTTATACTTTTTTGAAAAATCTAAGCTAAAGTTAAAGATCATGACTTGGCAACCAACTTAAATAATTAGAAGTACTAAAAATAAACATTCAGTATAAGAAAATAGTAAAATACTAAAAACAAACTAAAACTATAGCTAAAAGTGCGGAAAAGAAGTCTAAACAGTTGGCTATAATATTCCTGTAAGTAAATAACATCAATATCTAACATCAAGTAAAATAAAGAAACAAATCCTAAGAGTTGTTCTAACTGAAACGGACCTGCAAGACAGAAACATTTGAGAAAATACAGCCAGAAAATAAATAAATAAAAGAGAAACTATTGAAGTGTTGCGCTTTCATTGCAGTGTTTTGTACTCAAAGGCCACAAAGGTACAGAGAGTGTGAAAAGCAGCATTAGAAACACAGAGAAAAGATGAGAGAGAGAGAGAGAGAGAGAGAGAGAGATATTTGCTTGTAGCACTACTGCCGGTCTAGACTGAATGCTAAGCAAAACAGACAGCAGCAGATGCTAGCAGCGGTGTGTTATCAGGGGAAATGCCTCTCAAAAGACAACACTGAAAAAAGGCGCGCACACACACACACACACACACACACACACACACACACACACACACACACACACACACACACACACACGGGCCAAAGAATCCCCCTGGAGCTCCACATCCACTTTAAATCCTTCACTTTATACAACTATACAGACGCTATACTAAAGGCAGACTATCAGGAGGAAAGATTGGATCAAGTATCCCAGTGGCTTCAAAACCGCAGGCTGCTGGTCAAATGAACATTTTGTGACCAGGCTGAGGGATGGGTCTTACCTTTTCTTTGTTGCCAAGGTAACAAAGCCAAATATGGCTTTATGGCTTTACATTTACTTTGATTACAATCATTCATTCAATTATTTTTTTTTTGGCTTAGTCCCTTTATTAATCTGCAGTCGCCACAGCGGAATGAACCGCCAACTTATCGAGCATATGTCTAAAACAGCGGATGCCCTTCCAGCTGCAACCCATCACTGGGAAACATCCATACCCACTCATACACAACGGACAATTTTAGCCTACCCAATTCACCTGGACCGCATGTCTTTAGATGCGAACATGGGAAGAACATGCAAACTCCACACAGAAACACAACTGACCCAGCCGGGGCTCGAACCAGCAAGCTTCTTGCTGTGAGGCGATTGTGCTACCCACTGCACCACCCAAATAGAAATCAATATTTAATTTAAAAAACACAATACAATTGAAGAAACTAAACAAAAGGCATTACTATATACACACTCACTCTACAGACCCTAATAATATAATTCATCTATATTCCTTTTGAGCCACACTATTATTACTACAGCTTCATCTATTGATGTATCTTCTTGCAAAATACATCCACAAAATCATTGAGATTTTTGGCCCTTGTAAGTCAACCAGCAAAAAAAAAAAAAAAAAAAAAAAAAGAGGCTAAATAAACTGGATTCTGAAAAGCTGATTTCAAAATGCCCTTATTTAGTTTTTAGGATTTTTGGTTTTCAGTCAGATAAAACTCAAATTTTCATTTAAAAAAAGAATAATTTCTTAATAAAAACTGTACAATCTCATGAACCCAAAGTCGTGTTCTTATCTCTCATTGTCAAACAATTCATTCATTCATTCGTTCATTCATTCCTTTATTAATCTGGGGTCATCACAGTGGAATGAACCGCCAACTTAGCCAGCACGTTTTTACGCAGTGATTGTCCTTCCAGCCGCAACCCATCTCTGGGAATCATCCACACACTCATTCACACACACACTCATACACTACGGACAATTTAGCCTACCCAATTTGCCTGTGCCGCATGTCTTTGAACTGTGGGGGAAAACAGTGAGGGAGCACCTAGAGGAAACCTTGATATTTTAGCGCGGATGTATACCTGACCAGTGAGCTGTCTGACAAAAAAAGTGCCCTCCTGACTTTAACTGCGGTTTGGCATTTTCACTTTAACTCATGAACATTTCATTCATGCCTTCGTGACAAACTGGTGTATTAGACGCAAATAAGGACAGGTGAGAGTGTTATGGAATTTAATAACGCACACCAAATGGAAAGGAAAAAAAACTTCTGCATTTCGTTGTGTGTTTGTGTATGTTTTTGTGTGTGTGTGTGCGTGTGTGTGTGTGTGTGTGTGTGTGTGTGTGTGTGTGTGTGCGGTCCTTTACTGAACAGCCGCACGTGTGGATCTTGTCGGACAATATGGTGAAAAGTCCTACATGACTATGTTTACTGATTGCGGTGTTTACTTCAATAATGCCACTAATATCTGCATACTCCACATGTCTTAATTCCATTTCTGTTTAGTTCAGTTATTTTAGTCGAATCAAGGTGATCAAAAATTTCTGTTTGAAGCTTATGTAGGCCTAAAGTTCAAAGTTCATGTTTAACTGAATAAACAGTTAGTAAACACAAGTACATCTTATTGAACATAATTTATTTTCATCAGCAATTATCATAGTAGAATAGTTTCTTAAGCAGTTTGTGATCCATTTTGGAAACAGGAGATGAGCCCCTAGTTTAATGCGCCACCTGGCTTGAGAAACCAGTTCTCAAAGACTTATCATTTGGGTAGCACACATATTCTGAATGCCTTCGGCAGAATTCAAATGGGCCATTGTAATCTAGATTAATCTAAATTAATTCCAAGTTTAATCTAGAGTAAAAAAATGAATCTATGCCCACCTATAATATATATATTTTTTATGATCCATATTTTTTATGTGTGTTTTTATGTGTGTACACACACACACACACACACACACACACACACGCACACAGACTCACGAGTCTCTGAATTGATTTAATGTATACAGAACTTTTAAATTTGTTTAGTCTTTAAGACAAGAACATTATAATCAATGCAATTAAACTACCTCAAAATGAAAAGTAACTCCTTGCTTTGCTTTTACACTATCACATAACTAATTACACTGATAATTATAACGCAATAACAAACTTATAATGGCCTCATGACAGTCATGTTTATGACAGATTTATGACAAGTTATGTTGTCTTGGTAATGTCGCATAAGAATAACAGGTTATGATGTATTTGATTATGTCAAGTTTGTGTCACCTTCGCATTAAAAAAATGACAAAACCGAGCAAACGGCAGAGTTGTCATAAGCATAGAAAGAATCTCATTCATGATGGTCTTAAGAACAAGTTCAAGTAAAGCATTACCAAAAAGGGGCACACACAGGTCAAAGGATCCCCTGGAGCATCACATCTACTTTAAATCCTTCACTTCATACAACTATCAAGACTAAAGGAAAGGTTTTATGAAATTGCCCACCGGCTCCTGGTTTCAAAGACAAGGCCTGACTGATCTTCAAATATACCTATGTCTTTGTTTTGAGATAGACGCCAAATTTCTTCTTATGGCACATTTATAAAAATCACTCAAATGTCCTAATGGTACTAAGGCCTAATCCCAGATTAGTGTAAACCCTGTCTGTGAAACCAGGCCTCAGAGGTGCTGGCGAAAGGAACATTTGGATTTTGGGCATCTGCGACGCAGCTGAGGAACAGGTCTTACCTTGGCTTTGTTGATAGTGCAGTGCAGGGCATTGTTCTCCTGATCGTACAGAAGGCTGAAGTCCAGAGTGCCGAGTGTAGCTGTGAGGAGACAGACATAAAAAAAACATCAACAAAACAGTTCATCTGCAGGGCACAGCGCAGCACATATGCAGAAGCAATTAGCAAGCTGTTTATACCATATTTAGCTCCTCCAGAGACCATCTGATGTCGATTGTAGACAAAAAGGCAAAGTGTTTTCTCAGTCTGGCTGGCTCTGATTTGCATTTGATTGGGCGGCTGCTATCAGGGCGGACCATGTTTTTATAAGGTTTGATATTCCGAGTTCTGTTTGGCGGGGACTTAACGAGATATCAAGAAGCAGAACCAAATCTTTTATGCCAAGTTACACTGCTGTTTAATATAGGGTCAGTGTAAATGTAAGTGTGTTTACATGTAACAGGTTTGTTTTGATTACAATGAACTCTTGTGCAGTTTGTTTGAAAGTTTGATGCTGTCATCTTAATCTTGGTTTGTATTGAACACAACACAGAAATACCTGGTTCATGGAAGAGCCCTCACCCTCCTTCTCACACTTGTTGGATAAGAAATGTTCTTTTTTTTTATGAAATTAGAAAAAAATAGGTACTCTCTTCACCGGCCTAGCACTATTTTTAGTAAATTGTGGGAACCCCTTCGCAAACATGTCCAGACTCTTCAGCTTGCCCCTGCTCCTTCTGATTGAATCCACACCCCCCAATGCCCAGCTTGTTACGGGAAACTAATTCTGCTCAACACATTGTAGACTTGTTTTATCTGTAAATAAGATTGCACTAGTGTGGTTTTAAAAATGTATTTGTTTATTACCTTATTTTACCTTATTATTATATATTTATTTTTTTATTATTATTGTTTGCTCAAAATACTCTTCAGTGTATTTTCTTATTGTTACATGTTTATGTTTTTTTATATTTTTGTAATATTTCACATTGTAAAAATAAAACATAAAAAAAAGAAATATGTGCTTCAGCCTACATTTTTGTGAAATAGCAAAAACGTACATCAACGTACATTTGACTTGTAGTTTCTTTGTAAAATAAACACTAAAGATCAGTATGACGCTGACAACTTTGTTTTTTTTTCACTTTAATAATGTTTACAGGAATATATTGAGAATATACACTCACCGGCCACTTTATTAGGTACACCTGTCCAACTGCTCATTGACGCAAATGTCTAATCAGCCAATCACATGGCAGCAACTTAATGCATTTTGGCATGTAGACATGATCAAGACAATCTGCTGCAGTTCAAACCAAGCATCAGAGTGAGTGAGAAAGGTGATTTAAGTGACTTTGAACAAGGCATGGTTGTTGGTGCCAGACAGGCTGGTCTGAGTATTTCAGAAACTGCTAATCTACTGGGATTTTCCCGCACAACCATTTCTAGGGTTTACGGAGAATGGTCAGAAAAAGAAAAAATATCCAGTCGTGGCAGTTCTGTGGGCACAAATGCCTTGTCGATGAGAGGCCAGAGGAGAATGGCCAGACTGGTTGGAGCTGATAGAAAGGCAACAGAAACTCAAATAACCACTTGATACAACCGAGGAATGCAGAAGAGCATCTCTGAATGCACAACACATTTAACTATGAGGCAGATTGGCTAAAGCAGCAGAAGTCAACACAGGTTGTCATTCCTGTCAGGTAAGAACAGGAAACTGAGGCTACAGTACGCACAGGCTTACCAAAATTGGACAATAGAAGATTGGAAAAATGTTGCCTGGTCTGATGAGTCTTGATTTCTGCTGAAACATTCGGATGGTAGAACTACACCAAATAAATATCAAATAAATACCATAAAACAACGTAATGGTGTTTATGAATCTTAATAGAATAAAAAAAATCATACTGTTTAAAATGTTTGTTGAATCAAATGATCCTTTTTAGCCATCTTAACTTACATCAGTCAAACAAACTAAAAATATTAAATAAAACTTTGCAGAACTTAAAAATTAGTTTAAAACATGATTACTTATTAAATGAGTTAAAGTAACATAAAGGCTTTTGTTGTGATGGCTTTTTGTCATTATCTTTTACAGAGTATGGTTTCCAATAAAAGATTAATGTAAAATCAAGGTTAGAAAACGATGACAAAATTTTCACTTTTGGGTGAACTATCCATTTAAAGGGGCCTTTTCTATAGTGTAGAGTGCAAAGTAGATTTGATGGAAATATTCAAACACTCTATTACATGCTTACAGCAGAGATGCCCAAACTAGGGCCCATGAGCGAAAGTTTGCCCTTGGTAACCCTTAATTTGGCCTGCCATCCAGTGTTAGAAAAGAGGTAGTTTTTTTTTTGGTAGTTTGTTTTATTGTTGAGCTAAAAAAAGCAAACTGAAATGAATTGTTTCAACTAAATGTTGTAAATGAATTAGATTTTAAAAAAATACACTATCACTGATGAATAGAAGACAATGCAGAAGACATCAACAGAGGCAGGTGCAGCTTAGTGTATTCTGCATTGATCTACACTGTGTTAAAAAAAGAAATTATGCTTTTATTGTAATTTGTTCATTATAAAATGTAAAAAAATATATGTTGCTTAATTTGATGTGATTAAATCTATTTATTAATAATATGAAATAAATTAATAAATTATCCATTGAAACTTTAATAAATAATTAAAATGATTTAGCTGCTTGTTCAATCTATTTATGCAAAATGAGCTTAACACAATTCTTGAGATTTTTTTGGGGACAACTTAATTGTTTTATGTTTAATCCACTTAAATGTGTTAACTTAATTGATTTGGGACAACTAGGGAATGAACTGTGTGGAACCCTGCATTTTTTACAATGCAGTTTGGTATATTTACTTTTGGCCCACGGCCCTCAATCAAGTTTATTTTTTGACCCTTCGGAAGAAAAAGTTTGGGCACCCCTGGCTTATAGATTCTGACTTCTTAAAATTTAGCATTACATACACACATAATCCTTTGAATTTTTGGACCTTCCCAACCGATAATTGTGAAGTCAATACTGTAAGGTCAGGGATCTGCAAGTGAACCTCCCTGCTGATTCTGCTTCATGTCAATACGAGCATGAGAACCGAACTCAAATCTCACATATATACTCCAGGCAGAGTCTCTGCAGAGAGCAACTTCAGTTCAAGGATGTCATTAAGCCTACTGGAGTAATCAGCTAACCTTACCCTTAAACCAATTAGCCTCAGCAAGATATATGAAAAATGAATATATAAAAAAAAAACTCTCCCACGGCCGGAATCTTGACCTAACTCTTCTTTAAAATACCATCAAACTGAGGGCACTTTACTGTATCTCAACACCTAAGCATTGCAAGCCATACAATATAGGAACACATTTGTTAGACTATACAGGTGTATTTCCTCCAAAATTGAAATTGCTCACACACACAGAATATTAATGAAGATTTTTCAGCTGAAATTGTGGACCTTGGTGATTCAGAAAAAACAAGTCAGTAGTTGCATTTTCATCCACCTATTTTTATGTGCAGTTTAAAATTTCACATAAAAATAACCCTGGAGGAAAATGCCAAGATGCTCATAAATTTTATGGATGGATATTGTATGTATGTATTGTGTGAATGGGTGTTTCCCAGTACAAGGTTGCAGCTGGAAGGGCATCCGCAGCATAAAACATATACTGGAATAGTTGGCGGTTCATTCCACATTGGCAACCACTAATAAATAAGAGACTAAGCTGAAGGAAATTGGAAGAATGAAAGTTTTAGATAAAATATTCTTATTGTTCTACTTAAGAGGAAAAATGACCCACATCAGATGAGGGTAGACATTAGAAAAAGCAGTGGAATTTGAAATTGTTAAGATGAATTAATTTGTATAATAATGCACAGTTTTTTATTTAATAATTTTAATTCAATGGGTTTTCTCACTTTTGAAGTGAAAAGTCATTGCTTTTCATAGTTTAAGCAAATTAACAAGTGTTTTTGGCGTTAAGCTGTCTCTTTAACGTCATTTTTTCCCTCTTCCCATTTTCATCTGTGTATTCCTACATGATGAAAGGAATCAGCAGGATTTAATCAAACCTTTGCTGAATTACCCAAACTGCAATCTCTAATGCACAGAGCACTGCCATCAGTGATGGGCTTCACTCAATGCAATTACGATGAATTGTATTATCTTACACTATTGTACCAATGAAAGCTATGAATAGATTATCGTTGGTAAAGACGGAGGAAATGATTGACGGAGCAAACCTGGTTACGTGTTCACAGTACAGCAAAAAACGAGTGCTAAATATGGTTTGGATCACCATAGAGAGTCTGATAATGAGTGGCAAGATCTTTCTACACTGAAAAAAAAATAGTGCATCATAAACATTTACTGTTAATCAGTGCGATTTACATTACAATATATATATATTTTTACATAAGTTCAACACTAAAAAAACTAAAGGGAAAGTTCACTCAAACGTGATTATTTGCTCACCATTTACTCATCCTGAAGTGGTTCTAAGCTTTAGAATTTAAGATTTTTAGACGAATGTTGATGTTATGGTCCTTGGGAGTTGTTTGGATCTTTCTTGCTTTCTCCCTCTCTGTCGCTCTCTCTCTCCTTGTCTATCATTCGCTCTTGCTCTCGTCCTATCACCTTTTGTTCTGCTTTTTTCGCTTTCACAGGTATCTGCAGATTGGATGCCGAGCCTGTCACTTCTCATTAAGGCGTTTCCTCATGGACCAATCAGGCTACGTTCCATTCATTCATTTTCCCCATTACACCACCACCACCAGTCTGAACCAAGGCAAGACGGATCCATGGTTTCATGTTGTTGACGTCAAATTCTGACCCTATCATCCAAATGTTGCAGCAGAAATCAAGACTCATCAGACCAGGCAATGGTTTTCCAATCTTCTATTGTCCAATTTTGGTGAGCCTAGTCAAATTGTAGTCTCAGTTTCCTGTTCTTAGCTAACAGGAGTGGCCTTCTGCAGCTGTAGCCCATCCGCCTCAAGGTTCAACAGATGTTCAGAGATGCGCTTCTGCATACCTCGGTTGTAATGACTGGTTATTTGAGTTACTGTTGCCTTTCTATCAGCTGAAA